TGTCGTAAATAAAAGCTTGTGAACTTTGTAAAGCAAGGCCATCTTGGGTATGTTCTATTCTCCGCTGATTCCAAAGTCTCTATAGAAGCTAGAGTCAGCTAGAGTCAGCTAGAGTCCAGAGATTGTCGTGAAATTAGTTTATTGACTGTACTGACTTTAATGTATCTAGTGACGAGTGACTGAATCCAGTGTAAAAGTGAAAGTGAAACGTAGGTTCTCATTCCATTAGCCGTTGTGACTCTTGTAACGAGCACAGAAGCTGTGCATTTTGTTTCTGCAGGACACCCCGTGGGGCGACTACGAGGCCTCCGGCAGCTCCAGTGGCTCCGGTCCGAATCCGACGGGCAAGCTGTGCCGGCGAGACAAGAAGATCTTGGTGAGAATTTGGCCCGGTGAGAATATCGATTTGATATGTGACCGAGTCACAACCAATCCAGGTCTCCGGAAGGTACTCGATGCAGCGATCGAGGCGACGGAGGAAGAGCGGACGCTCAGCTTCAACCCGCCTTCTCAGATCCAGAAGCAGGTCCGCCAGGGATACAAGGTCTCTTACAACTTGGCCTTCCTTTCGGTTGAAGAGGTCACTGAGATTGCTGGCGGGATCCCTCCGAGCGGCTTGAAGCTCGAGTCGGCGAGCACGACACTTCGCATCGAGAACGGGGCTCGGATGACTGGATTTCTGTTCTCACCTGTCGGCTTGGACGATGAGATATGGAAGCATTGCCGCAAGGTTGAGGTCTTCTTAGAGACCGCCCTCGATCGCAACGACGTCTTCTTGCTTCCGCAGGAGCAGCTTGCGCAATGCCAAGCCGGAAATCTGTGGACGTACTTGACCTCTGCAGAGCTGCAAAAGCGGGCCGCAGTTGCAAAGGGGTTGACGTCAAAGACCGAGGCGATCACCGTGACCAAGCTGAAGGAAGAGATGCAGAAGGTGCAGAACGAGCGAGCTAAGCAGGAAAACCCGCACACGCCCGAGGACAACAAAGGCTACGTGGCTACCAAGCAGACTGATTTCTCCGTTCTGTGATGTTGGTTCATGTGTTTGTCTTCCTTCCACCAGCCGTTACCGTTGCCGTTACTTACCGTTACCTAGTGACTTAGTAACACTAACCCCTACTAATCATGTCTTACTAATCACCACTACTACGTTGCCGTGTTGCTCTGACAGCGATTCTCGGTGAGTTCCCGTGATGTCCAAACTAACAGTCAGAACCCGATGTTATGAACCGTTATGATAAGCAGAACGTGTTCCTGTTCTGCTTGCTGCAAGTCAGCAAGTCACTGCAAGTCACCAGTCGTAAGGACGTGAAAAAGGGAGGGCATCGCACTACAATAGGAGCCCCCGGATGTGAATCTAGTCAAACCTGAAGTTGTTTTCGATGTCCAAAGTCCAAAGTCAACCTGCTCGCAGGGTCTGATCCACAGCTAACAATAATCTGTGACACCAACCGCCAAACTCATTCCAGCATTTTGCGTACAATCACAGAGTCATTCAGGCTGAGCATCAGTAGCAGCAGTATCAGTAGCAGCAGTCAGTACCAATATTTTTGGCAGGCTTCCTCAGCAGTGAGGATGAGGGCAAGGCCGATGACCCCGAGGCTGAGGCGGCGAAGAAGCTGCATCAGTCGGCAGTCGCAGAGGGAACTGTGGAAATCGATGTGGCGGCTTTGGACGACGATCTTGAGATAAACAACAAGAATAAGAGGAAGAAGCCGGGGGCTGCAAAAAGCCAGGCGAAAGGTCGCAAAAGCAGCCCATCCAGACGAAGTGCAGGAGGCACAAGTGCAACGAATGCCTCGAAGACCCTCGTTGAGTCTGAGGCCGACTTGAAAACGTTGGCACCCGGCCTTCAGCGAGTTTGTACCAGGATTCAGAAAGTTCCACAGTGCTTCCTTTGCTTGAACGAGGGCTGCTTCCTGCAGCCATGGGGCAGAAGTGTCGACGCCGTGCCTTGGTCAGCTATCACTTGAAGGTCGAAACTAGTAACTAGAATAACGAAAAATCTTAATCTAGGATCCTAGGGCCCTAGGCCCCAGGGCCTTTCGTACTATAGGACTATAGGACTGGGACCACTACATTGACTACATTGGGCCAAGATTTCCCAATGCAGGCCCGACGCATGTTGAACCAGATGGAAAAGGACAAGGACAGGAATCAGCACTTGCTGCGGCCACATGTCTGTGCTGCAGAGGCTGCGATGCAGCTCAAGGACGGCAACCTGCGCAAGATGACAAGGGCGAGCCGGCTGGGTCACCTTCAAGCCCTTACGGCGGTAGAGTGGGTGCCGCCAGTGACGATTTATGTGCAGCACTTGCTTGCAGAGTTTGAGAGCGTGGACTACAGGGTCGCAGAGGGCATCGAGAGAGCGAAGCTGCTCCTGTTGCCTGGGAGTGGGAGAAGCCCAGCTTCAGGGGGCTGGTGTCCCACGTTGCAGGCCGCTACGAGAGGGCTCGGCTCTTCGGCGATGAGGTGGACTCCACGGCTGAAGCTGCGGAGATGGAGGCTCGCGGCTTGACGTGCCGTGCGGTGGATCGGGTTTCGGTCTTGGGTTTTGAGTTTGTTGTTGTGGGTGCCTCGTAGAAAGGTCAACTTGAGGACTTTAGGTCATTGTGCCGCATGCGACAGCCAAACCCAAAGCAATCTGCTTCTGGCCGCCTATCCTAGTCCAAGGTGTGGGTCTTTGTTGAGTCTGATTCCTGAGCAATGCATCATCAGCGAAATCCCATTTTGCTACGTTTGTGTGGAAACCTTACGTCATACACAATTGGTATGCCCCAAACGAATCTTTTCCAATAAAGACATTCACGAAATGTAAGGCGAAACGAAAGTGTCCCCAAACGAACCTGTTTTCCAAGCCAGCACTTCATGGTATACAACACGTGCAGGAGGGGACGATTTCTCTTTGGAGAAATAATCTAGATTCTAGGTCATTCTAGGTTCTAGAGTCTACAGTCATGATAGACTAGCGGCTAGGTTCGAGGCATTCGAAGCTCGAAATTAAAAGCTACATTGAAAGACAAGGTATAGCGGTATAGCTAGACTAGACTGGGCTTAGACCCAGGCTAGATAGATAAGAGGAGAGTACATAGAACCAAAGAAGACCAGCGACTATATTGATAGACTGAGGAGTACTATAATACTATAAAGGAGAGATCCGATGGAGCAGGTCATCGCAGACGGCATGGCGGAGGCGTTTGCCAGCGACGGCTTCTTCCAGCTTGTCGGAGGTGGGCAAACCGGCAAACAGACTCCTATTCTGGGGCTTTGGGGGTTTTGAAAAGGGATGTCCGAAAGAGGGCTTGTGGCAAGCTGCCGATTATGCTGATTGTAAGGTAACCTTATGGAGAATTGTTGAATCCTCAGTTGTCTGGAGAATCTGAAAAGCAACTGATTGCAGGGTCGGGCAGGGGCGGTAACGGCGGAAACCGTCACAAGTTTGTCAGTTCTCTTTGGAAAGCAATGGATTCCAGGCGGCCGTGGAGGAGCGAAAATGCTGAACCGGCTTTGCGACAGCTTGTGCCGATCGCTGACCCAGAAGGAGGTGCTCGAGCGCATTCCGGACGGCTTGCAAGATGTTTGCTCGCGGCTGACATCGGTGTGTCGGTGCTTTGTCCTCTTGCTCCAGTCAGATGCCGCCGTGTCTGGCACTGGCCTGTCGGACCTCGAACAGCTCAGAAAGTACAGCGGCAGTCACTGCCTGGAAACGTCCCTGAAGGCTGCCCTCGCGAAAAACGAGTACTTCAACAGCTTGGCTGAGGATGCGCTGAAGTTCGCAGCCGGAACGGTGAAACACAGCGAGACTTACAAGACCTGGAAGGCACAGATCGGAAAAGATCTGAGTCTGTCGGAGATGAAAAGCATGATTGACGAGATCGGCACGATCAAAAACGAAGTGCGTCCAGGACTCTTGGACAAGATCGAGGTGGCTTTGCTGAAGGAGCTGAAGAAGCATGCCCATCAGATCTTGGCATGCCCAAAGGCAGATGGCAAAGCGCTCGAGAGCTTTGCAGTGGTGTCGGTGGGTCTGGCCCTTCCCGGTTTCGAGAAGCAGGACGGCACCTTGGACTTGCAGGCCCGCTTGAAACAGTGGAAGAACGCCAACAAGGATGCCGTCGACCTGCTGAAGTTGGACTCGGATCCAAGCACGATGAGCTTCCAGGATCTCCATGACCTCATCGGACAACTGCGCAATGCAGAGCTTTCCGACACTGCTGTGCGAAAGCTCCTTGCTTTCGTGCCACGCTTCTTGAGCACTGTGAAAGACGAGGCGCACCGTTTCATGACCCTAAACCCCTAAACCCTAGGGCCTAGGCGCTAAGCCTAAGCCTAAGCCCTGAGGTCCCAAGGCCCGAAGGCCCAAAAGCTGACATTATGATTATAGCGACCCAAAATATACTCGTTTTGTGACTTTAGACTTAATCGAGTGATTTCTGTGGCTGTTATTTCCAAGGCTTCTGTTCAAGGCCACAAAATCATAAGATTTCAAACGTAGGGGATCTCCAATACACATTCGGGGATATTGGCTTCTTCGATTTGATTGTCTGCAAGGCTTCTATTGCAGGCCACCAAATCCAATAAGTTCATGTCCTATGCACGTATCTCCCAATCTAGCAGAATCTATCAGATTTGGCCGGCGCATGGGCATCAAGGCTTTTCATGTGATTCATTTATCGTGCGGTCGTTTGGCTCTTGTTTGCCAGGTTCCTGTTCAAGGCCATTAAAGTCAAACATAGTCAAACCAATTTACACCCCAGAAGAAGTCGTTTGTTATTTAATTGCAAGGCTAAGGCTGCTAAGGGTATTCATATTCATTTCCCAGACCAACCGAGCAAGGCTTGAAGTCGCCAATCAGGAGTAGCAGTAGCAGCTGCTGGCCATCATTAATAGGTGCTCGCATTGTCTGTCAGTTCGCTAGTCCTTGGTAGCTAGCAAAGCCAATCCGGAGTGTAATCCTGAGCGTTGGTACGCATCAGAATCAGCCGTATCAGCCAACAGCCAGTGGTTGTTACCGGACGACCCTTTCGTGGTTTGGTTTCCAGGGCAGGTGCATGTGCTATTCATCTTGAAGGTTACTAGGACTGTATTGCTCGTCGCAGCTTCTGCCGAAACAGTAGTAGCACGTTGGGTTCTCAGTCCAATGTGCGTGAAAACCAAACCATCGATTGTGCCTGTGCCTCAAATCATCAAATAATTTCATTGTCATCATTTGTCATCTGCGTTGCTCCATATGCCATAAGCCATAAGCCATAAGCAGAAGTAGCGAAGAATTGAGACAAGTACTACTACTTACTACAATTACTGTACTATGTTACTATGTTACTATGTTACTATGTTCGTGGTACATTTCCTTGGCTGCAGTGCAGGTGATGGACCCCCAGATCCCGCATGCGGCCTTCAAGCAAAGGTGGCACTCCCTCAAGCTGTGCTGTACCAAGCTTGTCGTCAAAGTGCTGACGAACGAGACGAGTGACTACTTGTGCCAGCTGTGTGACCTCATCTACTACGGCAGCCATATCGTTTGGGAGCAGCGTCGCTTCGATTCGGCAGCAAACCCGGCGGAGAAGCAAAAGGCCGGCGAGGCCTTGGCGAAGTCGATCAGAGGAATGCTGAATTGCCAGTCCAAGACATTGCAGGCGGAGCAGAATGCAAGTGGGAGCGAGGACGGCGAGGACCTTGGGCTCTAAACGACTGGCGCCAGCACCCTGTTCGATGACAGAATCGACAAGCATGAGCCGTTCAAGACCTACGTTGCCGACATGGCCCAGGCGCTGCTTGACGAAGCGCAGACTTCCATAGTGACGCTTGGCAATGCAACGAATGGCCAGCACAGGAGCTGGAACAAAGACGTGGACGTCAATGATCGGGCGGCTGTGTTGGAGGCCAGGCGGCCACAAACCAGCAACCGCTGCTAGTAGTTAGGGTGGTTTGAAAGTTTAGTTTTAGTCGAGAGTGTAAAGTGTACAGTGTCGCTTTTGGATGTAGTAAGGAAGCGAAGTGGGAGTCCAGGTAGTTAATGATTAATGTTTAATGTGTACGTGTAGGAACAGAATTCGAGGAAATAGTAATCAGAAGTTGAGTGAAAACCTTCAGTGTCCACCGGTGCTTTATTGGACGCAGTATAATTATGCTTCCTAGACCGTGGAGGAAGATACCTTGGGCCTTGGGCCCTAGTGACCCTAGTGGACCTGAGGACCTAGTAACCTAGTGACCTAATGACCTAGTAACCTAGTACTTGTTACTTGAACGTAACTACTTGCTTGCATTGCTACTGATTTATACTTACTTAAAACATTGTTCTTTGACTTGCTTCATTTGGGCTGACAGGCCATGAAGACCCATGTAGCCGAGAAGGTGGTTCCTGGAACGCTGCGTGCCGAGCTTGAAAGCTCCCAGAAGGCGCGAACACCGATGAAACTCTTTGGCGGTTCTGGCTTCCTCGTTTGTATTGTAGTCGTTTCTTTGACTGCTGGAAGAGTCCCAGCCAGGTTGTTGAGGCATCATCGGCCAGGGCGGGGTAGTCGTAGGGCCTCGGCACAGGCTTAATTTGGCCATGAAGTGGTCCACATTCTGTGCTGTGTGCCTTTGTGCAGGTTCTGGATAAGATCGCCGGCCACTCCAAGATGTATGGGGCTATGCAGGGCTCAATCTTGAATGCAAAGATGCAAACAGTCCTCGGCAACCTCAAGGAAGAGGTGAGGGCTTGCAAGGCGTTGCAGGTGGACCAGGTCCTCTTCACTTGCCTGACAAGTGCCAAGCTGAAGTCCAGTGGCACTGCGAATGAGATCATGAAAACGGCGATGGACGATGCCACGAAAAACGGTGTCGTCGACTTGATCAACCCCGCTTTGAGGGCGGCTTGCGGTTGCGCGGCACCGGCAGATGCTTGAGTTTTCACTCTTCGCAAAGATTTTCAACCGGAAGCGGCAGTGCGAATGCAAGTCGAGAGGCTGCTGCGCAGTACGGGTTTTGCAGCTGCATGCTTCGGCTTCAGGTTCGTTCCAGCTTCCAGCCGATAAGCCCTTAAAACCGCCTTAAAACATAGGACATAGGATTGCTGAGTCTAGGGAGTCTGGAGTCTAGGGTCTAGGTCCAGGTCCTAGTCGTAGAGTCCTAGAGTCCAAGAGGTCCTAAAGTCCTTTAGCCTCCAACTACAGTGTGCTGACTGCGTAGATTGGGTTTGGGCTTGGCCATTTGGGCTTCGGTTGCAGTGGCTTGAGCTTACTTAGGGTTACTTATGCCCATGGAATATGCATGGTATACAGGTCAAGTTCTTTGAAGCCGCTGAAGCATGTGCACCTTTTGCTTCGGAGCCTACAAGGCGCCCACCAAAACTTGACTCCACCCGGTGTGAGAAAAGACCGACGCAGGAGTGAGCTTATTGAGTGTGTACGTCACCGTGTGTGTGTGTGTGCGCGTGCGTGGGTGGATGCATGCTGCTTGAAGTGTGTGCCAGCTAGACCGGATGCATCAGAACTCCGATTTGCAGCGAATGGGTCAGGCCAAGCAGCTCGGGGACATTGTGGTGCTGTCACGACATGTCATGATCAGTCTAGACTCCAAATTCCAGAGTCTACGTCTACACAGGGTCTCGGGCTCCTAATCTTACTCCGGTGCTTGTAGCTGTAGCTCCAGGGCATGGCAGCCGAAGTTGCAGAGACACAGATGTCTCGTGTGCGCAGTGTGACATGGTGCGCCTGGTATGCCTTCTAGTTACAGCTTA